ACAACTTTATAGATCTTCTAACTACGGTTCTAACAAGCCTTATTTCATAACTTATTATGCAGTATGAATCAAGATATCGAGATTTAAAGGTTCGGTGATATGGTTTTTTTTTCGTTACCTTCGAATCACCGTCTGATTCAGCTCGTGGCCGTATCCCCTTCCTCAAAGGATTCCTCAGCAACAACCCCTCTTTCTTTACCCTCGATTGATGTCCAATTTTAAGCAACCAAAACTCGAATTCTCAAAAATTTCCTCCTCTGTTTTCTGGGTTTTTCGCTAATCACTATTCTTCGTTTTTCTTCGTTTTTAAAACCAAATCAAGGCCCTAATACGCTTCCACATCCTCTAATAATCCACTCATCAATCCCATGCCTCCAGCCTACGCGTCCGCCGCCCCTCATCCCCTTTACAGCAGCTGCTTGACGCAGCTGCTTCGATTTTTTTTTTTAATTATCATCATCATCATCATCATCATCATCATCATCATCATCATCATCATCAAACACACAACAAATAAATAAAAAATACATATTATCATTATTTTAGGTTGTTACAATTTTGGACCCCTTTTTGTAATTTGTAAAATTCTCTCTCCACACTTGAATTCATTTTATCAGACTTGATCCTACAACTTCGTGACCAGAAAAGAAACAATTTTGATGAAAGACTCAAAGTCTAAAAAGACTTAGAGAGTAAACACCAAATTTGAGTTTGACTTTCAATTTTTGAAACCTAGAAAATCGACATGGTCGGTGAGTTATCTCTATTACTTAAAAATTAAGAGTCAACCTAAAGCTTATTTTAATTTAGGGTACTTCTTGATTACTTTAAAACAAAAGGTTATCCTAAAACTCATCGTGAGATAGCATCTTGATTACTTAAAAAACAAGAGTCAACTTAGAGTTCATCTTGATTTAGGATAACTTCGTGGTTACTTAAAAACCAAAGGCTATTCTAAAACTTATCATGAGATAGCATCTTGATTACTTAAAAATCAAGAACGAACTTAGAGCTCATCTTGATTTTGGGTAATCTTTCAATTATTTAAAAATAAAAAGTTATTCCTATGTGTGACATGAAGCTTATAACACACATTGATCATGATTCTTAATAAAATTCACGTTTTTAAAGCGAGCACAAGTCATATTAAATTTCTAGACTAGTTGGAATCATTTACCTGCATAAATCTTTGGGTTAACCATTAAGGGCATTTTAGTCATTTCTCTTAATCCTTTAACTTATACCCTTAACATGATTTAGGTTCTAAACTTGATTCAAACCTCTTAAAATTTTAGGTAAACCTTAATATCCTTATATATAGGTCTTACTTAAGATCTTCAACCTTCTTAAAGAAACTTTAAGGGCATTTTAGTTATTTACCACCTTAAACTTGGTTAATCCCCAAACATGATTCAATTATTCTAAAACTTTACATAATACATAAAAATCATGAAATAAGACATCTTATAAAGTTTCATAACATTTGGAGATCATTTGGATTATGAATGGAAAGTAAGTTATTTTAGGGCATTATGGTTATTTTATACCATTACTTGTTTAGCTACTTATTCTTATCGACCACCAAATTTCAGATATATTCTTGGCATGCCATATTATACTTAGCATTAAAATTTCATAGGCAGGAGAGTTTATAATGTTACTTGATTCTCGAGCAAAATGCTAGATTTAGATTTTTAACTTAATTCTTCAATAATTTTTTAAATCTGACCTTACTTAAGGTTCATAATGAAATCTAAGTGATTCCTACAAGTATTTCATAAGAAAAATTTAGATTGATTATTTACTTCATTGTTGACATTCGGGACCTCTGTTCTCGAACTTCCGATATATTACTCCAAATTTTCTTTGGTAGGTCAATCTTTGAGTTTAGTTCTAGAACTATCAAGAATTTTATGAGAGTAGTCTAAAAGGGGATTAAATTTGAGAAAAATGGAGCGACCTTATGGTTTAGGCTAGCATATTCAGTTCAATCGAATTGGCCACATCTTCTTCTTCTTCCCCAAAATAGGGGGCCACATCTTCTTCTTCTTCCCCAAAATAGGGGAAGAAGTCATACAACCAAGTCCATACACCTCTGAACATCGCCTTTAATAGCTGGATACAACCCTTTCTTCCCTCCCTCACATGTATTATTAATCTTTTAGTTGGATTAATGTTCTAATTATTTACCATGTAATTTTTTCAAAATCATTTTTAAGAATAATTATTAAAATTGAAGGCTAAATAAAGTTAAAAAAAAAAACTAAATTTAAGTATATGAAAATTAAATTAAGTTTGAATGATTTAAAATTAATTTAATACTTAATAAAAATAAAATAACTAAGTATAATTAATTATGTTTAGTTATCTAAAATTAAACAAGATAATATTAATTTGTATTAAAAGAAGGGTGAAGTTGAGTGCATTTATATTTGTCCCACATCGCAGAATTTTTAGAAGGCAGCTGCGAAGATGGATATAAAAACTATGCCGGCGGCGAATTGCAACTTACTTACCTGGACGGGGTAAATGGACGGTCATGAAGGTCCATTGCCTGGATTGGTGACCTCCATTGCACGCGAAGGAGGGGTGCCCGTTCAAGGTCTGCCCGTAGTGGCAGAGCCTACGTCATAATTTGTGGTAGTGGGGGCCTGCGTTCGCGCGGCCCCTTCCAATGCCCTCAGTCCTAAGCATTGTGCATGTCAGTCCCTACGTATTTCTTTTTACTATGATACAGCTGAAGACACATTTAGCAGTCTCCGGTTGGTACGGCACTAATGAGAGAGCGAAGGTTGTTAATGGGAAGACTTGGATCTTATTAGATTAACCATTGAGTAATTGGCTAAATGTACCTAGTATGAGTAACTCAATGATATTCCAATAAGATTAGTAAGTAATGGGCTTAATTGGCTAAATGTACCTAGATGATATTAGATATTCCAATGAACTAACAAACTTGATGATAAAGCCATAAACATGATAACAAAGCCATGGAATGGAATGGAATTGACTAACTAACTCTAAGACCTTAATAGAACACTTAATAGAACACATAGCACTAAACCACGCTATTTTTTATGAGAGCTCACAAGTCTGCTTATTGGTCATTTTCATACTCAACCTTGCTATTCCTTTTTCAAATGGATAGTAGAGTAACAATCATCGGAGCATTAAGAAGTTAGGTTGCTGCAAGGGACCATATCCCTGTCATTTTCCTATCTTGTATTTGGTTGAAATTTTGTTTAAATTATTTTGAAAACATTTTTTTTATAACACCCATGGCTCATTGCAATACCCTCTTCGGAAAAAGATCTTCAACCCCATATCCACTCAATTTGAGTATTTTCGGACTCACAGGGACTCGACTCTACAAATATTTTTTCATCTCTTAAGAGGGTCATGTGGTGAATCAATCAACAAGCTTTAATTTAACTAATAAAAAACGAGTTTTATTACTCTAATTAGTTAGAGGAGAATCAAGTCATTTGTCCCTCGACTCTACAAATATTTTTTCATCTCTTAGGAGGGTCATGTGGTGAATCAATCAACAAGCTTTAATTTAACTAATAAAAAACGAGTTTTATTACTCTAATTAGTTAGAGGAGAATCAAGTCATTTAGTCAAATCATAACAATACTGTCCTACGTCCAGTCGATTAAGCATCTTTTGGCAAAGGAGACCAAGTTCCTTTTGTTTTAAGCTAGAATAAGTGAAACAATTGAGCCATGTGCTGAAATACATATTGAATCCGGTTGGCAAGGCTGGATCGATTTTGAACCCAACCAACAATAATTTCAAAACAAAGAGGGACCCAAGCTGTATCCATGTATTTGATATTATTATAGACTGTAGTCGGAACCACAAAGAATGGTCTGATTATATAAAATAAAAAATTGGGGGTTTTGGAATTTTAATTAAATTTAATGCAAAAGATAAAGAAGATAAACCAAATAGATTTTAATTAATTTTCTTTATATTCCTTCCTAAATTAATTATTGTGGGTTTGGTAGCCCTTAACAACCCATCTCTTCTAACTTTAGAGAAGCTAATTTTAATTCACCATATACAATATTAATATTAATATTAAAGCACAATTTTCAACTGCTTTCACCATAATCACCCTACTCATAACTAAGACCATCCTTCAAATGATGCCATGCCATTAACATATGTCCAACCTAAACCGAGTCTAGCTCAATAGCATATAAAACATTTATTACTATTGCAAAAGTCAATAACCTGCTCAACAATGATCGAACTAAAAATAAATGAAGGAAGAAAGTCATAGAACCATTATCCGAAGGCCAATGTAGATTGACTTACTATATACTTAAAAACAACACTTTTAAATCTTCATATCGATTTCATAGAAAATCGGGTTTGGTCTAGCATTATGAATCAGGATGATCCTTCAAATATGGAAGATCATTCTACTGAGTGCATATCATGTTTAGAATCACGAATTTCCACAATGGTATGATATTGTCCACTAGCTTTACTTTGAGTTTTCCAAAAAAGTCTCATACTAATGGAGATAGTATTCCTCACTTGTAAATCTATGATTATCCCCTAAATTAGCCTTAGGCTCAAAGTGGATAATATCATATCATTGTAGATATCATTGTAGAGAGTCATGATATCAATTGATATCATCAAATTAGCAATACCCAATTCTAGAAATCTAAATTCCATCTAAAAGACCCATCTAGAAACGATAAAAATCCTAAAACTTAGTATTTCATTCCTTGAAAATCTTGGCAGCATCTTATTATATAGTTTGAGCATCTTATAAAGATAAAAGAAGGAATATTTGCCTTTAAACTTCTGACTTTCTGGCCTTCTCTTCTGCATAATAATTTCTCTAAACAGTCTCAAGAAATGTAATCAGCTATTTTTCAGAACTAAAACTAACATAAAAGTATTCACAAATTCACCAAAAACAGAACAAACCTCTTAGAAATATGAAGATTCAAAATCTTCATCCACCATAGCCAAGTTCAGATGAACACAGAATATGATATATAATCTCAGAACTTTGAGCTACATTCATGAATGGAAACAAAGTGATGAACAAAATAATACAGGAGAATGACGATGATGATTAATGGGTTCAGTTAAAACTATGGTATAAACACATTGTAAATGAGGGGTTTTATTATAAGTTATTTTTTACAATTATTCTACCAAATTGACCAAAGGGGGTGGCACTAAGTACACTATGAACCACAGATCAAACATGTTTCAAGAACTAAAAGGAGAGAAGAGAAAGCCAAACCTCATACAAATTGCCAGTTCTTCAACATTCAGAGCTAGCTTCCTCAAATCAGCCTCCCATGGATCTCAAGTCTTCTAATGCCGTTTTAATTTGTTCCTGAACCAACTCCAATCTCTTGGAATAAACCTCCAACTCCATAATCTGCTGTTTCCTCCACCTCTCATCCGCCATGTCTCCTCCACCGAAGCTCAATGGAATTGGATGCAAGGCCAGCCCACTGAACCCTCTGCTTCCACAGAGCCCTCCTCCTCCCATGGAATTGCTCAACAATTCCTTGAACAATGGCGACAGACAGCTCCTCACCGCTTCCTCGATCAATCCTCCTACACCTACGTGATTGACATTTTCGTTGTTGTTGTTGTTGTAGGTGCTGTTTTTCTCTTTATTCAAATTCTCATTGGACGAACGCGGCGGCCCGTCCATTCTTAATCCCGATCCAGGCCGTGAACGCTTCCGCGATTTCGGAATCGGCGTGGGTTTCTTTTCGGAGAAATTCGCCATCATCTCTTCGTTTCTAGCGTCCATGTAGCTAGCATACGGAGTCGGAGCAGGCTCCTCGTCGTCCAAAGCGTTGTCATCGACTCCAATTCGGCCGGTATTGCTCCAGATCTTGCGAGAGATCTCAAAGGTAGCTTGATCGTGAGGGCTTTTGAAATTGAATTCCTTACCAGAGCTAATCTTACCAATAACGTTGCGGTATTTCTTCTTCAACCTCCGTAGCTTTTCCACGAGTTGATTCTTGTTAAAATCCAACTGTAATTTCGACTTGATCTGGTCGTAGAACAACGCCGTATCGTTCTGATGATGATGAGTCGTCCCACGCTGCATCGTGTAATCCAAAAACCCCTGCAGAAGCTCGATCTCATCCTCATCTGTCCAAAGGCGTTGAAACAACTTCCTGGACTCATCCAAGGGCTTCTTCTCGCACTGCAAGGTCAAAGGCTCAGCAGAAGCGGTCTCGAGGCGCTGGCGGATCAGATCGGAGGAGGAGATGGAGACAATCGAAGGAGGAGGAACAACGGGGACCGGACGGTCGATGGTTCCGGGAGTGGCGACGGTAACGACGGCGGAGACGGAAGGAACTGCAACAGCGCCGGCGGAGGAAGTTGAAGGAGAAGGATCATCGTTCAATTCCTCCTCTTCGTCGTCGTCGTCGTCGTCCTCGAGGGATTCCTCGTCGTCCTCGAGGTCTTCGTCGGGGAAAACGGCGTCGTTGCGAGGATCCATTGAGGAGAGAGAAGAGAGGAGAGAGAGAGAGAGAGAGAGAGACGGAACAGTTAACAATGGTGGAAAAGGGTGGGTGGTTTGGGTTTGGGGTTCACGAGGTTTGATTGAATTTTGGTGTGTATTGGGTTTGGCGTGTGAGAATGGGTTCGGTGGACTTGAAAGCCGCCTAACTTTCTAACCCCCACGCGCTTTATCTTGTGAGTGTTACTCAATTTACCTTTTTTTTCTTCCCTTTTTTCCCCCAAATAATCCCAAACCTTTCCTCTCTCTCAATTTGTACTCTTTCTTTTATTTGAACAATATTAGTTGAATTAGAGTCCATGTTAGAGATGGTAGGACTCACAATACTCGATCACACGTTCGAGAATTCTCGCGTTGTTTCTCCACCGTCACACCTTCCTAAAATGATCTTTATTTCTATGTAAGAGGATAAAGATGTTCATATGACCTAATAACTCCACCAACCAAGACTACCCGTCACCATAAAAATTAGTTTTGGTTAGATTTTTTTCGGTTTGAGTGAGGTTGTATTCTTTGAAAACCCAAAAAAGTCAACCCGATCAACTTAGTCAACCAAAAAATAGTGTTACAATCCAACCCTAACTTATCATACTTTTAAGATTATTATGAAAATTTAAAATGCTTGACCTTTATTATTGACGTTAGTAATGCTTTTGTGATTAATAAATGTTTGTATTTGAATTTTACAAATTTTAATTATTAATGTAACATTTATTGTGGATAAGTAGATTTTTTTTAAATAATTAAAAAAAAAAACTCGACAACCCAACTTAAGGATATTTAGTGCTAAATTATAGTTTACTGTGTATATCATATTTGATATTTTATTATAGGCAAATATTTAGATATTTTTCCTTCCTACATCTATATCTTTCCTATATGTTCTTTCCATATATTACTATTTTCATATTCTTGTAATTTATTTGATTATAAATAGAGAATTGGGATGAAAAAAAAAACGTACCCACCCAACTTAACCCATTTCGAAAATAGATGGTTTTGTTGGATTGGGTTGTGAACCCTATTTAAGTTGTTCTGGTCACCAACCCAACCAACTTAAAATTATGGGTTAGATCAAAATATTTTATCAACCTAATCCAACTTAATCGCACATGCACCTCTAGTAAAGAGAGTGAAAACGACATTAGCTACCCGAAGTATATGTTGTGGATGTTCGAAAAATAAGATTGAGGAGCAAGGTCACCAACCAGGTAAGAATACCATAATGACAATCACACAAAGATTTCATTCATTAGTCCTCTTAAGCTACAAGATTCTATTTTGTTTTGACAATAGAGGAATTTTGACATCAGAACAATGATGGGTTCATGGATTCGATCAGGCCGAAGGAAATTCAATTAGGCGAGAGGCAGACCATGTTGGCTTGATCCATGTTCCAAAGATCCACGCTCATGTGTGCGCCTATCTGCCTTAGTCCCACGCGGCCACCAAACCCCATGCGCACACAGGGCCCACGAGGCAGCCCAGCAAATGACCATACAGAGGCTGCGTCCACAACCCACTTGTGTGTCGCCCCCACAGGCCAACCAATCAAGGGGTTATCGGTAAACAACAACTCAGCGCAGGTTTAGGGTCACAACCCTACTATTAAAGGAGTAGTTGTGACCTTTACGTCGAGACAAGCAAAATAACGACTCTCAAATGGCACCCATCAAGCTACGTGAAGCCTTAGACGAGTATTATGATGTAACTGAGGAAGACAGTGCATCATCCAACACATCATGTAAAGTGGGTATTGAAGAGATGATGCAACTGAGGAGGACGGTGCATCATCCAACACACCATGTAAAGTGGGTATTGAAGAGAAGATGAGACATAAGCAAGATAAGGGCAACGAGTAGACAAGAGTGTCTAAGATAGGCTTGTTAAAGGGTTAGGTAGAGTCTCAGGCCTTAACTTCGAAAGTCGAGGTTCTAAAAGGAATTTGGACATGCAGCTCCGAAGTTAAGTCTGTCCATATGAAATATGAAAACTCACCAAATTTGATATAAAAGGTTAACGAATACACGCTCGACGTACCACTTCGCATTTGATTTTGTACTTTCAAGGATCTTTTTCGCAATAGACCTTGAGGAGGAGTTGAGATCACATATTCAGGTAAGTTTTGGGGGTAAAGTTCAAATTTTTACTTTCGGACTTTCTCATTCAAAATTGATAATTCCTCGTGAAAGGCATGAAGCCTAATAAGACCTAGGTTGAGCTACCCCAAGAGAATTGGAGTTCTACGCTTTGGTTGACTTATAGACTCCCAAACTATTTCTTGAGCTTGAGGAAAGTATAAGGGAGAAGTTTCTTGAAGAAATCATGGCCCGAAAGTGTCTCAATCACCCTAACCAATAAAGAGTGGTTCTGAGTTTACTTGTGAAGAATTGTGTTTTCTGTCAACTTTGCGAGATTATATAATATGCTTCTGTACACCTCAAGATAAGAAACTTATCCCTAACTCTTCCGTAATGATCTAACTTTTAAATTTCATGATGAAATCGAGAGGAAAAACACTCTCGAATGAGCTAAGAAGAGAGATTTTAGATGGCGGTGGCAGCACATCTTCCTTTTTGAAGAAGATGTTGAACCAGTCAGGTCAGCCCAAAAATGATCCCTTCCAATTTTTCTCAAAATTAGCCTTATTTTAGTTTGGTTTGGATGAAAATCTGAATAATTAAAATATAAAACTTGGTTGTATTAAAACAATTGAACTTCATTTCTTTTATATAAAATAATTTTAATAGATTCTTTAAAATAGATTCAAAATCAAAATTTTCAAACACAACATTTAAGGGCACGTTTGAAATGTTTGAGAGTGATTATAGAGAAAATGATTCGTTGATAACTGATTTATTAAAATTGACTTTCCACATTTTAAAATGATTGTATAACAAAAAAGTGATTAAAAATAATTCAATGCGTTTTTTTAGAGTGATTGAAAAAATAGTTTAATTAAAATTATTTTAATATTTAATTTTATTAAAAGTACATTTTAATGATTAATATTTATTTTCAAAAGTAATTTTAAATCATCAAAATACTAATAAAGACATTACAAATATGGAGAGAGGAAAAAGGAAGAAAAAGGAAAATTTAAGGAAAAAAAAAAAAGAGAGCTGAGGTTAAAATGTTAAAGTCTATTTTAAAAATAAAAATTTCCCCAAAATAAACATCAAATCATTGACTAGAAATCACCTTTAAAATAGTTTACCCGAATCACTTATCCATAGCCGTCAAATATCATCATTTTAGAATATAGTCGTCCCAAAATCATTCTCAAACATGTTCTAATATTGTCCCATAATCTCTTTTAATGCACTAGAAACAAATCCCGAACAAATTGACCTAAGAGGCGTCGATCAAGTAATACATGGATGCAATACAAACGAAAGAAAATGTAATAAAATACAGACTGACATAGCAATTACCATTTAAAGAGGCAGAAAATGTGTTTGATTGAAAGTACAACTGCATGATTGTTTCATGAATTAAGGATATATGAACAGTTTATATTTATTTATTTGAACAGAAGAAGGAAAAAAAAAAAAAAAAAAGGAAGGAAAAGGAAAATATTCAATATAATTGAAATTTTGCCTTTGTATTCTCAAACACTTGCTCGGCAATGGCAACACCACTCCCATCTGCTTTCTTGATTTCCAAATGAGCCTTCTGATAAAACCCAGTGCCCCTTATGGCATCAGCAATGAAATCATCAAACCCTATTGCAATGGCAGCTTCTGCTTTCGCTCCATAAACCAATCTCTGTTATTTCAACAAAATTAAAGATACTAAATAAACGAAAGCCAACCGAGATGAAAAGCGGGTGAGCTGATTCCTACGACGGTTATCGAGTTAGTTAGGTACGAATAGCTCCGAAAGCAAACCTTAATTCTTGAAAGATGGATGGCGCCGAAGCACATTGGACAGGGCTCACAAGATGCATAGATTTCGCAATCCGAAAGTTCGATTTGACCGAGCTTTTTGCAAGCCTACAGTAGATTATTACGTTCAAAGCGTAAACGAGTGAATCCAAATGTTCTAGCTTATAAGTCTTCAAGTCAAAAAAGCTTAGCATCGATTGCAAACGGAATAAATAACTTAGAAACAGTGGAGCTCAACACGATAAAGAGAAATCAATATGGACTCAAACGGTATGCATGAATGAGAAAATAAAACCGAAGCTTTCGGAATCATATGCATAAATGACTATGTGAACATGAATGAACATATATTGTTGCATACTCATGACTGAGGAAGACAAAATTTGATGATCAAGCAACTTTTTCACTTCCAATGTCGAAATGAAATTTATAGCACTGGGCTACAATTTTATACCAACCTCCCTAACTGCAGTGACTTCAGCATGTGCTGTAGGGTCAGTGTTTCTCAAGACCATGTTATGACAGCTCACAACTACTTCGTTGTTACGAACAACAACCGCACCGAAAGGACCTCCATCTCCACACTCAACTCCTTTGTAAGCCTCTTCAACTGCTTGTGTCAAGAACTTGAGGTCTCTGTCTTGTACATCTGGTTTAAAAACACAGACAAATAATCAAATATTGTTAACATTTCATCATAAAAGTTTTGACCATTTTTGCTCATTCCAAGTCCAAACTAAACAACGAACAAAATAAATGATTGTAGCAAGGCAGTGGCCAGCTACAATCTAGATTGTGTCTACTAACTAGATTGTGCTGTAATAGAATTCAAGAACAAAAAAGGGCCAATACACAAAATAAATCTCAAACCAAAAGTCCCTCCAAAACAAAGTCTTGCTTCCAGACACTGCATTGGTTTGAACTGGAGATCTATAAGTTTGGAATCAATTTCATATGAAGTCTTAACCCATGAAGAAAGGGAATCAAATTCTATAAGTTTGCTGATTCGTAGGCCAAAGTAAATTGTATGTATTTAGACCAATCCAAGACAACAAGAACAGAACAATCTTGATAATTATACAAATATATCTCAAGGGAACCAAGAAGTAAATGAAAATTTAAATGCTAAAAAGGAACTATTGTCAATATGATTAAAAAAGAAATTTGCAAAAAACGAAGGGTTGTGTGTTGGATAAAAGTCCCACGTCGGCTAATTTAGAGAATAGTCATGGGTTTATTATAATCAAAGAATATCATCTCCATTGCGAGACCTTTTGGAGAAGTCCAAAACAAAGCCATGAGAGCTTACGCTCAAAGTGAACAGTCGTGTTCATCTATACCTTCTTGATGACACCCAAATGCAGATGCTACAGAGAGAGTTCCATCTTTAGCTTCCACCACTGAAAATAAGGAAGAAAAACAAAATTACAAACCTAATGAGATATTCCAATAAAAGGAAAGAAAACCAAATTTATATGAATCTTATTCCATCAATCGTCAAGGTTGAGTCTAAGGTGCATGTAAACCCCAAAACAGTATAGAGAGAACAAGATAAAAACAACATACAGATTTAGAATCAGATCCATTTACAACAATAATAAAAAGAAGAGATAGGAAATATGAAAAATTAGAAATGAGTTCGTCATTGACCGAAGAATTAGGAAGCATCGTTACATGTGTCTCCTCAAAGGAAGAAAAATCGGCGAAAAATTCCATATCACTACTAAAATTCCTCCTAATTTCACTAATTCAACACCAACACGCTGTTCGATTTGTATCCTCTCAGATCAAACAATGGTTCTTTAGAAACCCGAAATACCCTCCCGATGCGACATCAGAGAACAATGCAAAGTGAGAACAAACAAGCCAGAAAGATCGGAGAAGAAAATCCGGAAAACACGCGATTTACAGAAGAGGTCGTAAACAACAACAACAACAACTAAATCGTTGGATTCACATTCGCACAAAACGGATGCAAGATCACAGTAAAACAGCGACTGATTCGAAAGAAGGAGAAACAGATGGGCTATGAAGAAGGTGTAGGGATTATTACCAGTAGAAGAATCTGCCATGGTCCAGATCGAGAAAACAGGAAGAGTAAAAGTTGGGATGGAGAGAAGGAGTGCGAAAGAGGTTTAAGAAATGAAGGTATACAAATCTTGAGAGCGAATGAACAAAAAGGTGGAAAGAGATTCCATTTGGGGCCATCTTCCATACAAAAGCCAAATCCTGAGGCTTCAAATTTTTTCCTCGTCGAACTCTCAAGATAATTCCATTTTTTCTTTGTTTATATTTTAAATTTAGTCGATCAATTTTTTTTTCCAAATTTGATCTTCATTCTAAATTTTTAAAATTTTACTTGATAAAAAAAAAATGAAAACTTAAAATTCTAAACATAAATTTTAAATTTATGACTTGAATAAGGAATATATTAAATTGGTTTAAAGTTTTGTTTAAGATGTTTGGTTATAATAACGTAAGCACAAAAAATGTTTCTTGTTATTGTGGTGAGGAATGTCCCAATTCGATGGTTGGGCACCGATCTTGCAACACCACCACGTTTTTGCTTGAATTTCAGGGTTCTTCCAAAAAGCGTTTCCACATGAGCGGTTTTTTCCGCATGAATGTGAAAAAAATATTTCTCTGTATTGTGGTGGGGAATGCCCCAATTCGATGGTTGGATACATATTTTGCGACACCGGTGCGTTTTCACTTGCGTTCTAGAGCAATTCCGAAAAGCTGCTCCACGGAGCGATTTTTCGCACGCATGCGAAAAAAAATATTTCTAGACATTGTGGTGGGGAATGCGCCAATTCGATGGTTGGGAGCCAATTTCGTGACACTGGCGCGCTTTCGCTTACGTTCTTGGGTGATTCCGAAAAGCTGCTCCACAAGAGCGGTTTTTGCGCACGCATGCGAAAAAAATATTTCTCAACATTGTGGTTAGGAATGTCCCAATTCGATGCTTGGATAACTATTTCGCGACACCGGCGCATTTTTGCTTGTGTTATAGAGTGCTTCCGAAAAGCTGCTTCCCGAGGGCGATTTTTCAAACGCATACAAAAAAAAAAAAAAAAAATTCTCAGCATTGTGGTGGGAAATGGCACAATTCGATGGTTGGGAACCGATTTCGACACCTATGCGTTTTCGCTTACGTTCTTGGGCGGTTCCAAAAAGCTACTTGAAATAGTCCAAAAATAAATAAACAAATAAAAAAAATAAAAAAAATAGTTAATATAATAATAATAATTAAATAAATTAATTAAAAAATCTTTTCCCACCCCTCTCATCTCATCTCTTCCCACAATTATCTCTCATGTACCCATTCTTACTCAAAAAAAAAAAAAAAAAAAATCTAGGATCAAATCTTCTTTCATATTTTAACAGGTCTGTAATAATCAGATTCCATATCAATTAATTAGATTTTTTTAGTAATAAAAATTTTAGTTGTCAGATCTTTAAACCAGAAGATTGTAGCCAAACAACCTAACTTAAAATTGGCCACTACTGTCTGTTTACACAATTGAAAAACCTATTTAGAGAATAAAAATAATTAGAGAGATGGAAGAAAGATTTGTTTAACAAGATTTAACAATAAAACAGTAAAGATCAGAGGGTAATGAACTTTAAATTTTGTCTAACAGAAAATATCAAAATTGTACGATCGCCAATCTAAATAAGAGAAATAATTTTATGGAGTTAAAACTTGAAACTGATGTCACGAGCTCATATAGGTTGACTCGGATTTCAAAGGACGGAATTGAACTTTCATTAAAGATATATTTGTGACAACGACTTAAGCGAGCCAAGTAGGTGACCTTATTATCGGCATGGTTATATTTGATGTTGACACGTGCCCTGTGGTTCTGCACGTGTCATATATATTGATATGTGTGAATTGTTTGTGAATCGATATGCTTTCTATATGTTATGTTATGTAATAATATGTGGATTGTATGATAATAATTATGGTACGATGTGCTCAAGGATATGTTTGAGATAGGATACGAGAAGGATGCACAAAACGAAATGTAACGATAGGAGTAAGATACGTTCATGAAACGTTAAGGTTAGGTTACATATCGGAGTGCTATGGATAGGAGAGATTGATGAAAGAATACAGTTAGGTTATGAGTAAAAAGGGATAGGTTTATGATAGATTGATAGAACGATAGCGTTAGGATACGTTCTTGTGATGATATGACTAAGGTACGTTACATAATGATATGTCTGTGATAGGTATAAGAGCGTTAAGGCTATGGTAAGTTAGAGAACGATATGACTATGAAGTGTTTACGTTATGACTTGTTTATGCTAGATTATTGTGCTTAAGTACGTAGTCATGTGAACGTGAATCGTGAATGTATGCTATGTATGCTGTTTAGCCTGATGTGAGGTGTAATGCATGTAACGATATGTTGTTCTTGAATGGTTATGACATGATTGTATGGAATGTTTGAATGTAAACAGCATGAATTGTATGACATGAAATACGGTAAACTATCTGAAATCATAACCTCGATAGGAATGTGTATGAAATGTAAATTGAAAATGAGAAGGACATGAAGCACGGAATGTGACAGGGGTTATTGTAATAGCCCAAAACTAAATAAAGAAATAAACAAATAAAAAGTTAAAATAATAATAATAATAATAAATAAATTAATTAATTAAATTAAAAATAAAAAAAAAATCTTTCCCCACCCCTCTCCACTAAGCTCTCATCCCTTCCCACAATTATCTCTCCTCTACCCATCTTACCAAAAAAAGAAAGAAACAGAAAACCTGCACAAAAGAAAGAAACAGTCAGATTTGAGAAGAAGTAAAATGGTTTTGAACAGATTGCAGATTTAGAGATTTTTGTCACTTATTACGGCAAAATTCAATCTCAGATTTCCTTTTACATGGTTATAAGAAATTAATTTAGGATCAAATTTCTTTCCTTAGTTATGGTTATAGAAATTAATTTAGGATCAAATCTTCTTTCCTATCTCACCGTCTGTAATAATCAGATCCCATATATAATTAGTAGATTTTTGTTAGCATTTTAATTATACGAAATAAGGTTATAAAGTTAGATTCAATAAAATTTTAGGTAGCAGATCTATAAACTAAAAGATCTAGCCTGTACTTAAAATTGGCTGGTAATATCTGTATACACAATTGAAAAACGAATGAAAAAAAAGAGAGAGAGAGGGAGGGAGAATGAGGAAAGATTTGTTAAACAGTATTTAAGCAGTGAGCCCTTTAAATTTTGCATAAGAAGAAGGGAGCTTCTTTAAATTTTGTCTAACAGAAAGGATCATAATTTTAAGATGACCAATGTAAATTAGGGAAATAATTTTATAGAGTTCATATTTGAAACTGATGTCATGAGCTCATATAAGTTGACTCAGATTTCAAAGGACGGAATCGAACTTTCATTAAAGACATATTTGTGACAATGACTTAAGCGAGCCAGGTAAGTGACCTTACTATCGGCATGGTTATATTTGATGTTGACACGTGCTCTGTGGTTCGGCACGTGTCATATATATTGATATGTGTGAATTGTCTGTGGATTGATATGCTTCCTATATGTTATGTTATGTTATAATATGTGGATTGTATGATAATAATTATGGTACGATGTGCTCTAGGAGATGTTTGAGATAGGATACGAGAAGGATGCACAAAACGAAATGTAACGATAGGAGTAAGATACGTTCATGAAACGTTGGAGTTAGGTTACATATCGGAGTGCTATGGATAGGAGAGATTGATGAAAGAATACGGTTAGGTTATAGGTAGAAAGGGATAGGTTTGTGATAGATTGATGGAACGATAGTATTAGAGTATGTTCTTGTGACGATATGACTAAGTACGTCACGTAATGATATGTTAGGTTATAGGTAGAAAGGGATAGGTTTGTGATAGATTGATGGAACGATAGCATTAGAGTATGTTCTTGTGACGATATGACTAAGTACGTCACGTAATGATATGTCTGTGATAGGTATAAGAACGTTAAGGCTATGGTAAGTTAGAGAATGATATGACTATGAAGTGTTTACATTATTGACTTGGTTATGATATGATACATTGTATGCTAGATTATGGTGCTTAAGTACGAAATCATGTGAACGTGAATGTATGTTATTTATGCTGCTTAGTTGATGTGATATAAATGCATGTGACGATGTGTGGCCCTTGTACGATTATGGCTTGTTGTATGAGTATTGAAATGTAACTAAATGAATTGTATGACATGAAATACGGTAAATTGCATGATACATAACCCCGCTAGGAATATGTATGATATGTAGCGAAATGAGAATGAGAATGACACGTAAGCATGAAAACGTGACACGGGGTTATGTTCATTAAATGATGACTGTAGGACTAGTGGGACCTCATGCATATTGTGTGATCATGCATTTGAGGGGATACCCCTATCCCATCACGAGGGTTCGAACGCGTACATCCAAATGGCAGGACAACGATCGTTATGCCCTGCATAGCGCTGTCGTGACGGTTTTAGTTTTAACGGGTCCCGGTGGGCCCCCAGAGCATGCCCACCGGCTAGGGACAGTGGCCCAGTGGTGTGCGAACTAGCTGGTGAGCCCATACTCGCACGTATGGGCTGCGTGTAGAGTATATGGTACACGTCCACGATTACCTGTTAGGATTACACCGTAGGGAAAACGAAACGAAAAAGAAACGAAACGAAACGAAAAGAAATGAAACGAAACGAAAGATAGGTCCAATCATTTTATTGCATGTGATTGTTGCATTTAACCCCAATAGTGGGGTCACTTACTGAGTATTTCTTTAAATACTCAAGCCATGTGCTTGTAACGACCCTAAATTTCCACATATCTAGAGTCGCCACTAACGTCTCATGCTCATCTCTAATGCAGAATAAAAACCTAAGCATGCTCATCTTTATTAGCGGAAAAATTTAAAACTTCAGAATACATTAAAACATTGGAAAACACTGCCAGACTTACGTGTTTCAAACATCGTGCTGGAGTTCAAAAAGATAAAATAACACGATTACAAATTAATTAATATAAATGAATGAAATGCAAACGCCCTATCCTAACCAAGACTAGGAATTAAATATGCAACTATCCTATGCACGCGCCACAGTCTCTGATCACGATACCACCGTCAACCGTACATGGGAGCCTTGCCTTTACTTGAAAAACAATATGGCACACGGGGTGGCCTCAGTAAGTGATCCCACTATAGGGGCCATGCTAATGCAAACACATGCAATCATGAATAGGGACCTATCTCTAATCATCTTAGGGGTGGCCTCCAGTCTCGGACAAATTGGATGTGTAGTACTTCCCTACACACGACTCACACGTGCGAGTGTGAGTCCCCAGAGCACTCGCACACCCCCTGGACCCTCTGGTCAAGCTAATCTGTAGTGACGTCCGGAGGTCAGCGGAACCCCATAGTGTCATGCGCCTCATGAACACCCTCATCTGTGTGCTTTCGCACCTGTGCGCATTCGCGCTCATCATAAGGTGCGCGTTCGCACTCATCATCTCTAGGGGAAGTAGCCCTATGCTTATGAACATATAAAATGCATGAGGTCCCTCTAAATCCATCGTAATGTCTCTTCTGACACAACCCTCTAGTCTCATCTCTTTGTTACTCTAGGTAACGCATACTCGTGGATATTTATATTAATATCATTTTCATGCTCTTAGGGTTGTGTCCTACGTCGATCTAACTTCATCTGATGACTTCGAGAATCTATCTACTGGACTTTCGTCTAGTTGTCCTAGGACTTTCTGTAGGTTAGGATCCTCTCGTTGGGAGGCAATAATTCTCTGCCTAAGCGTAGGTTGTACCGTGAGTCGGGCCAGCTGTGCTATGACTCCCTCGGTTGCTACAGCTATGTTGGCTCGCTCGAACTCTCTTTGTACCCTTACTTCCCTCGTAATGAGGGCCGACGAGTGGACCGTCTTCCTACTCAAGGCATCTGCAACCACATTTGCTTTCCCAGGGTGGTACTGGATATCTACGTCATAATCCTTCACCAATTCTAACCACCTTCTCTGCCTCATGTTTAACTCTTTCTGGGTGAAGAAGTATGTCAAACTTTTGTGGTCGGTAAAAATTTGGGTTTTCTCGCTATACAGGTAATGTCGCCAGATTTTCAGCGCGAACACTACAGCGGCCAACTCTAGGTCATGGGTAGGGTAGTTCTTTTCATATTCTTTAAGTTGACGAGATGCGTATGCGACAACCTTGCCGTGTTGCATTAACACACATCCCAGTCCTTTCATGGAGGCATCATTATAGATCACATATCCTTCTGAGCTCTCGGGTACTATGAGTACCGGGGCGGTTACCAATCTCTCTTTTAGGTTCTGGAAGCTTGCCTCACAAGCATCATCCCATCTAAATGGCACCCCTTTTTTTGTTAACTTTGTTAAAGGCGAGGATATTTTAGCGAAGTCCTGTACGAACCTCCGATAATATCCCGCCAATCCTAGGAAACTCCTTACTTCCGTTACCGTAGTTGGGCGTTCCCACTTTGTAATCGCTTCGACCTTGGTGGGATCTACAGATATTCCGTCCTTTGACACCACGTGTCCTAGGAAAGAGACTTGTCGTAACCAAATTCGCATTTGGAGAACTTGGCGTACAACTTGTGCTCTCTTATGGTGGTTAGGACTTTTAAGAGGTGTTCCTCGTGCTTTAGGTCGGTTCTCGAGTATATGAGGATGTCGTCAATGAACACAATCACAAACATGTCTAGGCATTCTTTGAATACCTGGTTCATTAACTCCATAAATATAGCTGGGGCGTTGGTGAAGCCAAATGACATCACCACAAACTCGTAGTGACCGTACCTTGTCCTAAACGCTGTTTTTGGTACGTCTTTTTCATTAATCCTAATTTGGTGGTAACCGGACCGAAGATCTATCTTAGAGAATACTGTTGCTTCTCTGAGTTGATCAAACAAGTCTTCTATTCTAGGCAGAGGATATTTGTTTTTTATGGTTCTCTTGTTTAGCTCTTTGTAATCGATGCACAGACGCATCGATCCATCTTTCTTCTTAACAAACAACACTGGCGCACCCCAGGGGGACACGCTAGGTCGAATGAATCCTTTATCTAGTAAGTCATGCAGTTGCGCCTTGAGTTCCTTCAACTCTGCTGGCGCCATGCGATAGGGTGCTTTGAAAATAGGCCCAGTTCCCGGCTCGAGTTCGATGACGAAGTCGACCGCTCGGGAAGGGGGTATTCTAGGTAAGTCATCCGGAAATACATCCGGGAACTCGTTTACTATTGGCACGTTTACTAGGGTCTCTTCCTTTCCTCTCACGTCTACAGCACATGCTAATACAGCCCATCCACCTTGTTGGACTAACCTCTTTGCTTTCATCATCGAGACTACCTTGGGGGTAATCCCGGTATTTGTGCCTTTAAATTTAAAGGTAGGTCCTATCGGTGGTGAAAATTTTACTTCCTTTTTGCGACAGTCTATACTAGCTCGATTTTCAGCTAACCAATCCATGCCTAGTATGACGTCGAAATCTGTCATGTTTACCACCATCAGGTCAACGCTTAAAGTTTGGTTCCCTATGATTACTTGGTCATCCTTTACTCTATCCCTAGATACTAAGTCTACCCCCGCAGGGGTGCTTACAGACATTTCATGTAATAAGGGTTCTAATTCGAACCCTGCTTGTACAACAAAAGGCATGAAAATAAAGGAATGCGTGGAACCAGAATCAAATAAGGTAAAAGCGAAATGACCTAAAATGGATAGTGTACTTGTCACCACGGCGTCGGACCTCCCAGTGTCCTTGCTGGTTGACGCGTATGCCCTAGCTTGAGCTCGCGGTGGTGCTGGTTGATCCGTTTTCTCTACTACTCTGGGCGGGTTTGCTTGTGCTGTAGCATTTCCGGCCGTGCAGTTCACAGCGATGTGCCCCTCTTGACCACATCTATAACACGCTCGGCTGCCAGCCATGCACCTCCCACCGTGTAGTCTTCCACAGATAGTGCACCCTTCCTCTCTCCTCCCTCTGGCCCCATCTTGATTCCTGGGGTTCCTATTAGTATGTCGGGGAGGGTGTCGCTCATCCCATCTAGGAGTGGGTCTGTTATTGGAACGGTGCCTACGTGCTGGTGGTGGACGGTCAGAGCCTCCTGATTCATGAGGACGCTTCTGCCCAATTACAACTGGCTCTTCATGTCGTTTCTCATCCTTTGGTTTCTCTAAAGCCTTGGCAGTTCTCAAGGCTTCCTCATAGGTCTTTGGGTTGAATGCCTCCAACATGCGGCGGATTCTTGGTTCCAAACCCAATACAAATTTCTCTGTCATCTTTTCCTCAGTGTCCACCATGGACGGTGCAAATCTCTTGAGTTTATTAAACTCTCTGTTGTACTTCTCCACTGTGAGTCCTCCCTGTACTAGGTGGGCGAACTCCTGCTGCCTTTTAAGTCGCTCTGACTTAGGATAATATTCTTTAAGGAAGGCCTCCTTAAATCGTTCCCAGTTCATTGGTCCCCCTTCTGGGTTAAGGAGGGTTTTGTTATCTCTCCACCATATCTCTGCGTCCTTTTGTAGGACGAAGGTTGCACAGGCGACATTTTGGTTCTCTGGGCACTCCATAGTCTCAAAGGTGGTTTCCACCGCTGCAATCCACATTTGGGCTTCTATGGGGTCTACCAAGGAACCAATGAATGGTCGAGGGTCGTATCTCTTGAAATCCCTTATCCAGTTTGAACATCTAACAGGTTGTGGAGGGTTTACTGGGGCATTGGCCTGAGCAGTGGCCTGTGCCTGTGTCTATGCCTGTGCCTGTGCCAGTGCCTGGGCCTGTGCCTGGGCCTGTGCTTGGGCTTGTTTCTGGGCCTGTTGTAGACTGGCTTGCTGATTGGTTACCAAGGTTTGAATTAGGGCTTGGATGGAGTTACACATTAACCTAGTATTAGCATCTACTCCACCCACTGGGGGTGCTGCTTTAGGTGTGACTTGGAGTGGTAGGGTAGGCTGGGGTGGAGGTTCTACTTGTGGTGGAGGCTATACTGGTGGTGGAGGCTCAGCTTGTAGTGGAGCTAGAGGAGGTAGCTCAACTGGTGGTAAGACTGGGGGCGGCGTAACTATTACCGGCCCAGTCTCTAATCTTTCTTGAGGTGGGCCCTCTACTGCCACACCTCGTCCTACTTCTCTACGACGGGGTCGCCCCCTTCCTCGTCTTCCTCTTCCTCTTCCTCGTCCTCCGGGCATGGTTCTATAAACCAATATAAGGTTGCTTAAGTCTAAGGCCTTAATACTATGCATATATATATATATATATATATAACAATACACACACTATACAATACATCATAACGCCAAAGAAGTAAACATTCATCATGCTAAGCATCATATCATGCTATTAACAAAATTACTCAGCATGCAACACATGACGTCATACTCTTAAATAAATACGTGAAATATCACAACCATTTCAGTAATGTCAACATAAAAAAAATGCATGCGAGTTTTAAAACGTTTCTCTTTTCTTATCTTATGCAAGGCGTACCTGACGGTGACGGGGTATCGACGTTGGGACCGTGGAGCGTGCCAAACCTACATCGTAGGCTAGTCTAAAGAATCTAAAACCTAGAGCTCTGATACCAACTGTAACGACCCTAAATTTCCACATATCTAGAGTCGCCACTAACGTCTCATGCTCATCTCTAATGCAGAATAAAAACCTAAGCATGCTCATCTTTATTAGCGGAAAAATTTAAAACTTCAGAATACATTAAAACATTGGAAAACACTGCTGGACTTACGTGTTTCAAACATCGTGCTGGAGTTCAAAAAGATAAAATAACACGATTACAAATTAATTAATATAAATGAATGAAATGCAAACGCCCTATCCTAACCAAGACTAGGAATTAAATATGCAACTATCCTATGCACGCGCCACAGTCTCTGATCACGATGCCACCGTCAACCGTACATGGGAGCCTTGCCTTTACCTGAAAAACAATATGGCACACGGCCAAAGAAATACTCAGTAAGTGACCCCACTATAGGGGCCATGCTAATGCAAACACATACAATCATGAATAGGGACCTATCTCTAATCATCTTAGGGGTGGCCTCCAGTCTCGGACAAATTGGATGTGTAGTACTTCCCTACACACGACTCACACGTGCGAGTGTGAGTCCCCAGAGCGCTCGCACACCCCCTAGACCCTCTGGTCAAGCTAATCTGTAGCGACGTCCGGAGGTCAGCGAAACCCCATAGTGTCATGCGCCTCATGAACACCCTCATCTGTGTGCTTTCGCACTTGTGCGCATTCGCGCTCATCATAAGGTGCGCGTCCGCACTCATCATCTCTAGGGGAAGTAGCCCTATGCTTATGAACATACAAAATGCATGAGGTCCCTCTAAATCCATCGTAATGTCTCTTCTGACACAACCCTCTAGTCTCATCTCTTTGTTACTCTAGGTAACGCATACTCGTGGATATTTATATTAATATCATTTTCATGCTCTTAGGGTTGTGTCCTACGTCGATCTAACGACATGATGCAATGTGGCACTCATCATCATCTAGCATGCTCAATATGAAACACATCATCATATTAAGGTAAAAATCATGCAATCATCATGCTCATCATAATGCCACAACGTGCGTCAAACATATCAAGCGTCACTCAACAAAATATGTATATACTAACACATATCATCAAGCATCATATAATTTATTTAGCCTATTCTATAGTAAGGCCACTTACTTGGTTGGCCTTGGCCGAAGTACTCCCTAAATAGCTAAACGTAAGCTCCCGTTCCGTGAGAGCTGCTTCCTACGTCGCCGGGGTTTGTTTCCTATCACACCGTTCACCACTTTCCGTTAGTATTTCACAATTAATTTACCTATAATTTAATAAATGTGAAACACGGCTCTAAAACGACCTCGGATACCTTAATCGGGGCCAAAAACAGATCCGGGAGGGTCGAAACAATGGAAACCGGGCTAAAAATAGGTGAGCCGAGCTGAACAGCCGCTGGAGCCACCGGAGGAGCCGCCGGAGCGTCACCGGAGGGAGCCCGAGCCGTTTGCGCCGAGCCGAGCCGAGGGACTACCGCGCCGCTGTGTGACACGTGGCAGCAGCAGAGAAAGCCACGTCGGGCGGTAGTGTCGGGTCGAAGCGCGGGTCGCAGTCCAGTTCGGGTCGCAGGCTGTGGAAGGCTACTGGGCCAAGGCTAAACGTTGGGCCTCGACTTACTGGGCTGGGCCGCAAGTGTTTGGTTTGCAGGCCGGCTCAATTGGATCGTGGGTCTAGTCTGGGTTGGTTCAACTGAACCGTAGCTTCTGGGCCGGTTTGAGGTTTGGGCCGCTGTAGTTGGGCTGGGCCAAAGGTAGAGGCCAAGGGAGGAACGAGCTGGCTCTCCCGGGTTCTGGGTTCGGGTTGACCCGGATCCGTGGATCTCGTCTTCCTTACCCGACTTTGGCCGATTTTCCGGCGAGCTTTCTCTCTCCTTCCCGCAGCATTTCTGTTGCCGATTTCGGTCCTCTTCCTTCCCCTTTTCCTCTTTGTTCGTCGTCCTTCTTTCCTTTTTGGGAGTATTGCGGCCTAAAAGCTCCTAAAAGCCATAGATCTAAGAATCGATTAAGAAACCTAATTTTCCGACCTCGGTTACCGACGACGACGCTTACGAAATAACACAAAACGCACCTTGAGTTATTGTGCTTTCGTTAGGGATCTCTCTTATGGTAGTAACAGGTCTTTGGTGTTGGTTTAAGGGTGGTTTGAGGGCTCGTCGGAGAAACTGGACACTCGCCGGCGTTTGTCCAAAATTTCTCTCTCTCTCTCTCAAAATTCTCTCTTTTCTCCCTTTGCAGGTGTTCTGAAGATGCTGGACTGAGGGTGGGCGTGCTGTGGCCGTCGTTTCGCGTGGGTTCCGCGAAACTCGGCGGTCGCTGGAAAGCTCGCGGGTTTTCCGGCGACTGGGTTTTTTTTTTTTTTCGTTTTCATTTATTTATTATATATCTATATATATATATATATATATATATTTTTCTTTCCCGGGTCGTTACAGTGCTACTACATTTTTCAGGTTAAGGCAAGGCATTCCTGCACGGCTGACGACGGCATCGCAACTCAAGATCATGGCACATGCATAGGATAATGGCATTTATTTTCTTAGAGTTAGGATAGAATAGGATGTTTTAAACTTAAACGTTTATTTATTTTATTTCGGGTCCTTTGTTGTGTCGTTTTAATGATGTTTTCGAAACACGTAAGTCCATGGCTGTGTTTTAAGTTAAAGGTTATGTTTTATGGAATTTAAATGAAGTCTTTCGCATTCAATGTTTATGGTACGTATACAGTAGCAACCTTAAATTAAGTAGAAAATTTCGGGTCGTTACAGTTATGTTCATTAATGATAAATGCAGAAGTAGTGAGGACCTCATGCATTATGTGTGTTCATGCATCTGGGGGGATACCCCTATTCCATCACGAGGGTACGGACGCGTACATCCAATGGCAGGACAACGATCGTTATGCTTTGCATAGCGCTGCCGTGACGGTTCTAGTTTTAACGGGTTCCGGCATAAGGGGTCCCAGAGTATGCCCACCGGAGAAGGACAGTGGCCCAGCGGTGTGCGAACTAGCTGGTGAGCTCATACTCGCACGTATGGGCTGTGTGTAGAGTATATGGTACACATCCACGATTATCCGTTAGGACAACACCGTAGGGAAAACGAAATGAAACGAAACGAAACGAAAGATAGGTCTCATCATTTCATTGCATGTGATTGTTGCATTTAACCCCAATAGTGGGGTCACTTACTGAGTATTTCTTCAAATACTCAAGCCAAGTACTACTACATTTTTCAGGTTAAGGCAAGGCATTCCTGTACGGCTGACGACGGCATCGCAACTCGAGATCATGGCACATGCATAAGATAGTGGTATTTATCTTCTTAGGCTTAGGCTAGAATAGGATGTTTTAAACTTAAATGCTTATTTATTTTATTTCGGGTCTTTTGTTGTGTCGTTTTAAAGATATTTTCGAAACACGTAAGTCCATGACTGTGTTTTAAGTTAAAGGTTATGTTTATATGGAATTTAAATGAAGTTTTCCGCACTCAATGTTTATGGTACGAAGTAGTGACCTTAAATTAAGTAGAAAATTTTGGGTTGTTACACTACTCCACGGGAGTGATTTTTGCGAACGCATGCAAAAATATATTTCTTGGTGTTGTGGTGGAGAACGCCCCCATTTGGTGGTTGGGAACCGATTTCGCAACACCGGCGCATTTTTGCTTGCATTCTTGCGTGGTTCTAAAAAGTTGCTCCACGGGAGCGGTTTTTGCGCACGCATGCGAAAAAAATATTTCTCAGCATTGTGATAGGGAATGTCCCAATTCGATGGTTGGATACCTATTTCGCGACACTGGCTCATTTTCACTTGCGTTCTAGAGCGGTTTTGAAAAGCTGCTCCATGGAAGCGGTTTTTGCGCACGCATGCGAAAAAAAATATTTCTCGACATTATGGTGAGGAATGCCCCAATTCGATGGTTAGTAACCGATTTTGCGACACCGGCACATTTTCGCTTGTGTTCTAGAGCAGTTCTGAAAAGCTTCTCCACGGGAGC